ACAAAAGTTAGTTTGAAGTCTAGGATTACGCCTAGATTTCTAACAAATTTGCATTTGCCTAATGATATTTCAATATGCGGTGTTTCAATGTTTCTGCTAAATGCTATTGCGGTGCATTTGTTTACGTTCAGTTGAAGTAGACATTTACTACACCATGTGTTGAATACATTGTTTTCATTCTGGAATTCTTTTGCATCGCTAAAATTACTTAATTCCATCAAGAGCATATACAAGCAGTTTGATTTTTTTAAGTATGTAGGAAATATCGTTTAGGTAAAAAATAAAAAGAAGTGGGCCTAAATGAGAACCCTGGGGTACCCTACAAAATGGTGAGTTGACAACCTGGAAGGAGCGAAATACCTAGCCCTGGTCCTCAGAAGTTCCTACTTTACGCCTCCCCGAGTCATATGATAACAAAAGACTATCAGCTAAAACATGGACACAGCTGGGTGGCGTAGCCTGGGCAATGTTGCCAGTCCGGCAATAGCAAAGTGAAGAGGTGCGACGCCAACACTGGCGCGGTAACCATAGTACGGTGAGGAAATGCTTCACCAAACCCGAGCGTCTGTTCACCATGGAATTGCGGCTCAAAACGGCGTCTGTTCTCAGTGTTAGGAGCGGCTGATCACCGTCCTAGTGCCAGCGGGGGACTCTAAACAGAGCTGTGCACGATAGTTCCCCGGCAAGACAGGGGGTTGGGGCAGGCCCAACAAGCCGCCCTGGAAAAGAACATAGTTGCAAATACTGAAGAAAGAAATACAGATCGGGACAATCGGCACAGACCTACGCGACGAAATAATGACTACGATTGGAAACTCGGAACATGGAACTGCAAATCACTCGGCTTCCCGGGCTGCGATAGGTTAATTTATGGCGAACTTCAACCACACAACTCCGAAGTCGTAGCACTGCAGGAACTTTGCTGGACGGGACAAAAGGTATGGAAAAGCGGGCATCGAGCGGCTACTTTCTACCAGAGCTGTGGCACCACCAACGAGCTTGGAACCGGCTTTGTAGTGCTGGGTAAGATGCGCCAACGCGTGATTGGTTGGCAGCCGATCAACGCGAGAATGTGCAAGTTGAGGATTAAGGGCCGTTTCTTCAACTACAGCATCATCAACGTGTACTGCCCCGAAACGACGACGAGAGAGAAGCGTGCATGCGCTCAAAACTCTCGACGGTCGTCGTCGTCGTCGAAGTCTAACGCCGCGACCCAACATTGAGCAACTACGGGACGCTGGAGTTGCCCAGGAATACGCGCAGCAGCTGGATGTTGCACTACGCACGGAAGAGCAGCTTGGCGCAGCTTCTCTTGAAGATGGCTGGAGGGACATCCGTTCCGCCATAGGTAGTACTGCTGCAGCGGCACTAGGTACTGCAATCCTGGACCGAAGAAATGACTGGTTTGACGGCGAATGCAAACTGTTAGTAGAGGAGAAGAATGCAGCACGGGCGAGAATGCTGCAACACCGCACGAGATTGAATGTGGAGCGATACAGACAAACTCGGTTTTCCGAAGGAAGAAGCGTCAGCAGGAAGACCGAGATCGCGAGGCGATGGAAAATCTGTTCCGCGTAAACGACACACGGAAGTTCTATGAGATGCTAAATAGTTCGCGCAAAGGCTATGTGCCGCAAGCCGATATGTGCAAGGACTTGGACGGTAACCTTCTCACGAACGAGTGTGAGGTGATTGAGAGGTGGAAGCAGTACTATGACGAGCACCTCAACGGTAAAGCAGCAGAAAACGAAGGTGTCACGGAAACAGACCTTGGAGCACGCGTAGAAGACGACAGGCTACCGGCCCCTGATCTTCAAGAAGTTGAGGAGGAGATCGGTCGGCTGAAACACAACAAAGCAGCTGGTGTAGATCAACTACCAAGTGAGCTATTAAAATACGGTGGTGAAGCACTGGCTAGAGCGCTGCACTGGGTAATTGCTAAGATTTGGGAGGAGGAGATATTACTGGAGGAGTGGATGCCCAATCTACAAAAAGGGCGACAAGTTGGATTGCTGCAACTACCGCGCGATCACACTGCTGAGCGCCGCCTACAAGGTACTCTCCCAAATTCTATGCCGCCGTCTGTCACCATATGCAAGAGAGTTCGTGGGGCAATACCAGGCGGGATTCATGGGTGCCCGCGCTACCACGGACCAAATTTTCGCTATTCGGCAGGTTTTGCAGAAATGCCGCGAATACAACGTGCCCACACATCATTTGTTCATCGATTTCAAATCCGCATACGAAACAATCGATCGAGATCAGCTATGGCAGATTATGCACGAGTACGGATTTCCGGATAAACTGACGCGATTGGTCAAGGCGACGATGGATCGAGTGATGTGCGTTGTTCGAGTATCCGGGACACTCTCGAGTCCCTTTGAATCTCGAAGGGGGTTACGGCAAGGTGATGGATTTTCGTGTCTGCTGTTCAACATCGCGTTAGAAGGTGTGGTGCGAAACTTTGAGACGATGGCGGAAACGTACATCAGACTGAAGGCTGAAGCTTGGCGGATTGGACTTGCCATCAACGCATCAAAGACAAAATACATGAAAGGAAGAGGTTCTAGGGAAGACAATGTTAGCCTCCCACCCCGAGTTCAGATTGACGGTGACGAAATCGAGGTGGTCGATGAGTTCGTGTATTTGGGCTCACTGGTGACCGCCGAAAATGATACCAGCAGAGAAATTCAAAGACGCATTATGGCAGGGAATCGTGCCTACTTTGGACTCCGGAGGACGCTCCGGTCGAATAAAATTAGCCGCCGCACGAAGTTGACTGTCTATAAGACGCTGATTAGACCGGTGGTCCTTTACGGCAACGAGACCTGGACTATGCTCGTGGAGTACCAACGCGCCCTTGGTGTTTTCGAACGGAAGGTGTTGCGTACCATCTACGGTGGAGTGCAGATGGATGACGGAACGTGGAGGAGGCGAATGAACCACGAATTGCACCAGCTGCTGGGAGAACCATCCATCGTCCACATTGTGAAAATTGGGCGACTACGGTGGGCTGGGCACGTCGTAAGTTTGCCGCACGACGACCCAGTGAAAATGGTTCTAGAAAGCAACCCAACAGTAACAAGAAGAAGAGGCGCGCAGCGGGCAAGGTGGATCGACCAAGTAGAAGTTGACCTGCGGACCCTTCGCAGACTACGAGGCTGGCGAACTGTGGCCATGGATCGAGTAGAATGGAGACGACTTCTTCGGACAGCAGAGGACAACAAGGCCTTAGTCTGATTGTTAAGGTAAGGGGTACCCCAGAGGTGACTGAAATTGGTTCTGAAAGTTTATTTTGAAAGCGGACTATTTGTTTACGATGTGTTAGGTATGATTAAAGCCAATTCAAACGTCCAGGCTCCATTCCTATTTTCTGCAATTTGATGCCACGTTAAGTAAAAAGAGCTGTAATTTGTTATAAGCGGATTTTGTGATACAAGAACAATGTTCAATGTTGTGGCAGCTCCCACAACTGAACCCTACCTATCGGTAGAATACTCAATAAACCCACTCTATACTATCGAGGCAATGCTTGTCTACGTGTTTTTAATCATTATTCAATCATAAAAGTGCTACTCCATGCCATCAAACAAAAAATCCACCCAAACAAGACCACTATCCTAAATTCCCATTTAGTTGATTCTCTGAGCTAATTAGGCCGTTAAGAACACAATACGAACAAGGCCAAAAATTATACTCTTCTCTTAAATCTTAAATCGATTCTTGAATTTACTCAACAGCACTACAATGTGCCAAAAGGATCTACGTCGTTAGACTCAATTAGATGTAACATCTATTAAGCGACGCACATAACGTTTTGGAGGTTACATTTTGCACCAAATAACAACGTCTAGTGTCTACGGAAAAAGATTTTTATCAACGCTCAAGATCTCAGCAATGTGTCAACACGCCAAATCATCAAAATAACCTTTTATTTGAGTAATTCTTGCTCAACTTGCAAAAATGCAGCATCAAGCAACCACAAATTTGTAACTCTATTTAAAATTTGAAATGAACAACCATCCTTAAACTATACGGAGTAATTAAGTTGCTTGAAACTGGTAAAGTTAGTCATACTTATTAATAAGTTTTCCTGAGATTCCCTGATTTTCCAAGGAAGTCTACGTCAACCATGCGGTCGTGTCTTGTACATAGCCCTACCAATTTTTTTTTGAATCGATCTGAAACACACCAAAAATCTACTGGATCGAACATTATCGTTCGATTTTTGGTTCCGATTCAGAAACAAAACAAAATATTTTGCATTTGGTTTGCTGCATTAAAACCAAGCTATCCCGCTCGAGCAAAGGAAGAAATTATAGGAATCAAACGTCCTTCATCCTTGCCATGTACAACGCCCCCAGCTCTTCACTTTAAAAACATATGACATCTGAACTGTCCTCAACGAAATCTGTCTTCGTTTTTCCGACATTTTGAAAAGAATTTATCGATTCAAAATTACCCAATACTAATTGAAACCCCAAACTGACACTTTTAGTTGACTCTCATCATATTCTTGAGGAACCTAAACAGCATAGGATTCACCAAACTAGCAAACAGAATTCTCAAAATTCTTGAATACAGGCAAAACGCAAAATTTGGGCGTTTTCCAATTCGCGCTGGCGGACAACCGTCCTAACATTCATTATCAAAACATCAAGAGCCTTTATCAATTCAATCAAACTACTGCCCTCATGTGACCTCTCCAGACTGACATTAAACGGTGTTCGTGCTGTACACTCTCGCGAACGCTACAAACTGGTGATCTCACCACCCAAACAAAATGACTATCAACATCAACACTAGAAAACAGCCACCGTCACTGACTCAGTTCTATGCAGTTCTCGTCGGCAAATTGTTCAACTTTCCCCCGTTCCCCCAACAGCCAAATACTTATTTATCACAACAACACCGCTCTCGCACCGCAAGCACCCAATCCAAAACGGTGCGGGTAGGTAGGAACCTATAAAATTCGTTTCGATTTTCGGCATGCCACTTACCACTTTCGATGTCGATGACGAGAAGAGTGAAAACGATTAATCCACATTTTAGAAACATTTTCCAAACACTGCCGCCTGCCGACTGCCGCTCCTCCTGCTCCGCCTCCTCCTTCTATTCCCTGTCTGCTTCAAGCAGCAGCCTCAGCCAAAACAGAACTGGTCTGGCCTGCAGGCTAGCTTGTTGTTGTATATCGGTGAAGGTTGTTATTTCGATTCTATTCGTCTGCGTTTGCTTCTTCTTCTTCTTCTTTCTATTCTTCTTCACCATGCAATTGAACAAGAAATAATAAACAACCGCTCATTCGTTGCTGCATGCACTCACTTTTTTCCAATGCACGGCGAAACCCCTAACTACACTACACGGTACGACTTCTGATTGAAGACTACGGGCCTTAATTGGCTCTTGGGCGATTTTTTTTTTCGGAAATTGTACCCGAATAGAACTGGAACACACTTATTCTTCTTTTTTGTTTCGAGGATATTTGTTTTTAAATTCCGCGAATTCACTTTCGGTACCCTCGACAGCGAGTCGACTGTTGGTCCTGATGGATCGGCACCATCATCGTCCTCGAAAGCGGAGCTATCGTCGTCGTCATGGCGTCATCATCATCGTCGTCGTCGTCGTCGTCGCCCTAACTCCGGATCCATTCATTTCAACAACACAACCCCATGTGGAAGCGAATCTCACTCGTGTTTTGGAAGTGGATACTGACGCTTCCTTCTACTAGCCTGATAACGCGGATAGTTCGGCTGGCATCAACAACGACAGCGGCGACGACGAACGAATGAATGAATTATCACCATTGCATCCGACACTGACTGGCGACTGAATCACGGCACATTTGCTGCTGCTCTTCCCCTGCCGTTGACGAGTCTGGATGATGGATTTTATTTATGTATTACTTTTTTTTTGCGCTACTTCAATGCTAGCGAGAGGTGCTGGAACATGGGATTTCACTCCATTCTCAACTGGCGCGGATTAAATCGAGTGTAGAGTTTTCGCTTTCCGCTTTTTTCCTGCACGAATCGAAGCGGCTCTTGAAAAATCGCAAAACACCACTATCACTAGCACTTGACGATGATTGGCAAAAAACTCACAGCACTGCTGGTGAGAAACGCGAAAATAACACGAGATTCAGCAAAACAGTAGACCTAATCGTTGAATCGGGGCTGACTTGCAGCGAAAACACTTCCGACCAGACCAGGACCACTTTTCCTTTCTTTGAATGCCAAATATGCAAACACTCACACGTGTGCACACATACACTTCGATTCGTTCCCCCCAGAAAACGCAGCACTTGGCTACTTTTAGTTTGGATTTTTCAATTAACTTTTATCACTTCATAAAGAGCCCCCTCGCTTTCGCTTTGGGCGTACGTATGTTATATCCTGCCTGGCACTAATTTCACTACCGACGAGCTCTTTTGGCGTCGTGGCGTTCGCTCATTCAACGCGACGTCGACGGCGGACAAAGACACAGTACAGCATCCTTCGGAGCAGCAGGATCAGATTCCTCTGATAAAAACTCCCGCACCAATACACTGTCACTGGCTACTGGCACTTTGTGTGGAATTCCTTCCAGTGGAGAATCTGAAACGAAATTTAAGAAAAATAAAGAACCCATTATTATTTGCCACGAACTACGCACTAAAAATTTACATTCTTCAGACGACCAAATCAGCAATTCAGGATTAAAACTTCTAGCAACGAAAATTGTCAAAACACCTATTTTCATCGAATTTTCCATTTTGCTGCCTCACCAAACAAAAAATGCACCAGCTGACTGCCGTTTCAACCGAAGCCGAGGTAAATCCAAATCAACACTACACACTCGAAATTCTCTCGCAAGGGCCTCATTTTCGAATGAGATTTTCACCAAACTCGTCGTAATTTTTGGAAAACTGTCGTCCAGCCACAACCCCCTGATTACGATGGGTTCAAGAGTTCGTCAACAAATTTCCTTTCCTTTGTTATCGCCGAGAGTGTTCACGTCCACAGTACACAGGATGAAATGTATGTTGTTGTTGCTGCTGCTGATGGCCTCTACATGTTCGTCGAGAGTTCCCCATTGCGCAGGTCCTTTCGTTGGCTTCCAGCACAGACTGCTGGCAGAACTGGAAGGATCCTGGCACCAATACAACCGCATCCAATGTAGTGGAGGGTAATCACTTGCATGCTGCTGCTGCTGCTGCTGTTGAGACTTGGTCATATGTTTTGCTTCTTTAGAGGTTGATGCAAATAGGCGAGACGCGTGGACGGATGAGCAAAGGGTGTAAAGAAAGATGTGTGCTGAGGACTTTGAGCGACAACGATGTAGGTATGTAGGTACATCGCCGTTGCAAGGCTTTGTTATTGTGACGACCGCTGTGGGGGGGGGGGGCTTCGAAAAGCTTGTCAATAATCATAATTTCGGGGCTTAGCATAGTGGAATCTTGGATTCGCTACGATTTCCGTTTGACCTAGATATTAAATGGAAATGAATTTACGTTCCGATTGTCACAGTAATTGGATTAATCCAGCATCACTGGTTCCATCTTGATCCTTCTAGGAGCTAGGGTTGCCAGTTGGCACAATTAATTAATAAGGTACTGTTCAGAGTACCTCCAGTTCCACACCAAATGACGAACCAGAAAAATTCGACCTTCTCCAACTTGCATGAAACTTCGCATTATTCTTTGTTATGGGCAATCATTCACATTTTTGCAAAACTCCGCCATTCTTGATTTTTTAGACGTAGGACTACGTCTGTGATTTCTATATGGGGGTACACTTTGTGAAAACCGAAAATGGACCATGTAACAAAATTATGAAAGATTTTTAACGTTAATAACTCAGCTGCTCCTGGACCAATTTCAATAATTTTATCGCCAATCGATCAGATATATTTCTACGCATCTGTTCAATGTGAGACTTTACCATTTAACAAAATGTCACTATTGAAAACTGCCCGAATGTGCAACTGTTTCTTTGATATTAAGATTTCAAAGTTGAATTCCATCCGGTCTCACCAAACGGTGTTTATTGTGGCTGCAGCTCACATGATCATCCAAAGAAGGAGAAAGAAACCGCACCGCTATTGATCGGAATCTGTAGCTCTTCATGAGTCCCTGTGAACCACTCAGGCCAAGCCTATGCTCACCAGCCTCATCTGTGTTTAACACCCTAATAGCTCAGCATTACTCAACCATACGACAAAACGGTCCTTTTCAGCACCACCATAAATTTGTAAAAGAGTATTCTTTGGACTTTTGTGAAGGTCATCAATCGGATGTCAGTTCCCATATCAAGATAGAGCTGGAAATACGGGCGTAACAGCTTTGGTAAACAATTACTTCTTTCGATGATGTCTTGAAAGGCTAAAAATCTCTATAATAAAGAAAAAAAAATGTCTTGAAAGTCAAGGCTCACTCACGCAAATCAACATCACCATCAGGTAGGGTAAGACTTCCTCTACCAGAGATTATGTTGGTTTGAATTCCTAAAAATCATCGAAAAAGGTCATTGTTTACAAAATCTGTTACGCCTAAATCCAGCTCTATCTTGATATGTTTAAATCTAACATACCATGTACTTTAAGGCAACATTGGGGGTGCGATTTCAAAAACCAAAGTCGGTCGCGGCATGAAAGTTGGTCCAGAGATGATGGATTTTCATTCTTAATACGCCAATCGATAGGAATTTTTCTACGAATTCGTTAAAATTTGGACTTTACATTTTTCTAAATGTCACTATTGCTATGATAATTAAAATTATCACCGGTTTCCTGCGAAAAGCGATTTCCCTAACACAGATTTCAAAATTGAATTCTTTTCGGTCTCACCAAACGGTGTTTATTCAATCACCGCGTGGTGAGTGGTGGTGTTCTCCAGTACACAACGAAAGGCTACCTGCAAGCAGCGAGCTGCAGCCCACATGAGCATCCATACAAGGAGAAAGAAGCCGCACGCAAATCATTAGCACCGCTATTGATCGGAATCAGTTGCTCGTCGTAAGCCGCTGTGGGCCATCTGTGTCAAGCGCGTAATACTAAAGATTATAAACAGGGAGAATCCCGGTCAAATTCCTATTCATAAAACACAAGCTCCTGCTGCAGTTACAAATAAGATTTATTATATAAGTAGTCCTAGGTCACCCCATAGGGCTGTCTCTTGCAGTTGTTTTTCAAAATGGCGTCTTTTACATTTTTTTAATAAATTGTAGCACGAAAACGTCACTTCTGATCAAAATTACGCCTGAGACAAAGTTGAAGGGAAAAGTAAAGTCTTTTAGGTAAAAATATAAACAAAACGGGATTTTTTTTTGAGTCAACATTCCAAAATAGTGATAACAACTCAAATATCTCAAAAAGCATAATTTCAATTTTAATAAATTCTGTTTAGAAAAAAGCTGATGAATAATGCAAACTTTTGGAATATTTAAAACCATCGGCACTTCAAACGGTAGAATAAGAACTATTGGTCAAATTTTTAGACTTTTTACTAGTACGTGACCTCGATATAACGTAACTATCAATTTTGACTTCCACCGTAAATATATCCCTAATAACAATTGAATCATACAAAATAATATTACCAATAGGGGATTATCTCATCTGTCCAATGGTTTTATTACTTTGCTTGTTTGAATGATCGTTTGCGAGAAATCGGCGATGGAAGTCAAAAGTGACAGTTACGTTATATTGAGGTATACCTGTATTCAAGTTTCCACACTTTTAAATATTCCAAACGTTTACATTTTTCGTGAGCTTTTTCCTATACAAAATTTATTAAAATTGAAGATAGGGGAAATGTATGAAATGTCGGCCTAAATATCCCTAATTAGGGCCCATAAATTCAGCAATCGACTAAATTTTCAATAGCGACCAAAAATATCCATTAGTACCGTTCTAATAACGCGTTCATCTAGTCAAATTGATTAATAGCAGACTTTTAGCGATGGGCCCAATCTTAGATCCATAGGCCAACATTAGAGCCATTTCCCCTATGTCTTTTTGAGATAACTTTGAGATATCTGACTATTTAACATTTTTTTTTCGAATTTTTACTGTGTACATTTTTTCAAGAAAGACTTTACTTTTCTCAACAACTTAGTCTCAGACGACATTTAGATCAGAAGTGAAGTTTTCGTGCTACAATTGATTGAAAAATGTCAATGAAGCCAATTTGAAAAAAAAAACTACAAGATCCAAAAATACGATTTTTTAGGAAAAATGCGAATGATTTTATAACAAACAATTATGCAAAGTTTCATGCAAGTCGGAGAAGGATGAATAAAATATTTTTTTTAGTTATTTGGCCTGGAACTGCTTAAGTACAATCATAGAGGTAACTCTAAGACAAGAAGGTCCCGAAGAAACATGCTCAACTTTGAGGCTCAGTTCTCTTCGGTCCCAAGCTAATCGATGCACCCCTCGAAACATACGAAAAACCACTAGTACTAGAAGTTCGACTGGAATGGGGTACGTTAATCGATTTGCTTGGGACCAATAGGCAAGTCAAGCAGTGAGCCAATTTAAAATCGTTAGTTTCCACCGGTTGGTATCGAGATGTTTTTATGACAGGTGGGCAGGGAACTCACGTTCTCCCAGTGTTGGTGAGTTCTTTGCCGTTAATTTTCACGAAAAGTTCACTATTTTGCCATACATAAACAAAAAAAATTATGGGTGGATTTGGATGGTTTTTTACCTGTTTCATACGACCTCGAAGGTGTATGCTGGTCACAAATGCCGTGCAAAACTAATTTCCTACGCAATTAATCAACGCTCGATGTGAATTTCGCTAATAAACACGAGGAGCATTTCTTATAGCAAAACTTGCCATAACAAAATGGGCGGTTCATTTTAGTAAACAAACTAAAACTTCTTCCTTATGTGTCACCTTTCATGCAGCTCCTAGGGGGGGTACAATCCTGGAGGTAACTCTGACGTAGTTTTCCCTATCCGGGACATCATGGAATACTTTTCCCAGTAAATTAACCAAAAACCACGTTTCCCGATTCTATTCCAATTTCCTGGGAAACAAATTTCAAAGGATTTGTCGGTGATAATTACGAGAAATTTTTCCAGATGAATCTGTAGAATATTCCGGAAGAAGTCGAATGAGTTTTTCGAGAGCAGTTAGAACAAATTTCTGAGGAAGGCCAGAAAGAATTCTGGGAAAAATCAAGACATTTCCATGCTCAGTCAAAAATAAGTATTCAAGAAATCAGAACGGGGATGTCGAAAATACTTCTGGGATGGTTGAAAACGGTTAAATAGAAACTTGCTAAGGTAGATGTACCAGTTATGGCTATACGTTCCTATTATGGTGTATTCCAATTAAGGCCTATGGGAATTCTACAAGCCATAATTGGAATACACCATGGCCATAATTGATACACTTACCCTATAGCAGTTTGATGAACGTGAAATGAACGCAGAAATCAAAAGAAGCTTTTGTGGAAACAAGAAGGACCTCTGGAAGAAGCTTCCGATGAAATCAGATGACAATATCTTGGCAAGGAGTAAAATTCTGAAACATGTTCGGGGTCATTTGCGCCTGTTCCTCCTATTCGATATGTCTCAACAAATCATAACTTGAAAACGTTATTTC